CATACATACATACATAAACACATATGTGCTGTTTGTTCTGGCATGGTGTATCAACTAGTTAACTAGTTGTCTACTTGGTCAGGTCTTTGAGCATGTCCGTCTTCAGCTCGTGTTGCTGCTCTTGTTCTCATCCTTCTCCTGCCGCCTCAGCTGCTACCAGTACGAAGCCCTTGCTTCTTTAGGGTTCCTGCCCGCCTCAGAACTCTGCAAGCTGCCACCTCGCATCAGAAGCTTCGCTGCCGTTTCCAAGGTTCGGCAGATGCTTTGGGGGCCCCGCACGCCCGCATTGAAAACGGCGAAGAAGCGGCGTGCTCATTCGACTAAGGGAGCTCCCCGAGCGTTCATTGAAGCGCTGGTCAAAAGAATGGACGTGGGTCCATCGCTGCTGAGCCAAGCATATGTAGATCGGACTTCCAGCAAACTCAGCATTGCTGCAGGTCATTCGGGCAAGACAACCGCAAAAACATAGAGCGGATGCATTTCTACGCGACCTCTTCGTTTGCGAATTCCAAAAAACTTAAGGTGAAGTGCGAGACTTCCACGTCTTCTTCTGAATGCAGAGCTACATTGAGCGGAGCTTAAGAAGACATGGTAGGCTGTACTTCAGCAAACAATCGTCAGCTCATCATTGTCGCCGACGAGTTCACGAAGAGCCATTCATTACCGAGTTGCATGTCTTTGTGCATTTCACTAGGAACTCACAGCTTGGACCTGTGTCCGGGGCCAGCTCAACTACGAACTGGCAAGCTCTTTCTTCTCTCTCTTTCTCTCTTTCCTTCCCTGTCCCTCCCTTTCTTTCACCAGGCCTGGTGAGCGAGCCCCCGTGAGGGGGTTGGGAGGGGGTGCGCGACTGTTGGTTAGATGCTCGGTATGCGTTTCTTTCGCCCCCACGCCGCAAGAAGTGGTGGGGATGATAAGCTAAATATCAATCTCTCTTTCTGAAACGCAAGGACAGATGTGCATGAATGTGCATGTGCAGTTGTGCGAAAAAGTGTGACACACCTTTGTAAATAGTCTTTGCCTCCGCACATACGTGGCACGCCTATGCACCTATGCATCCTGTATGCGCGCATCTTTGTAGGTCCGTCGGCTTGTAATATTGTATATGTTCCTAAAACTTCCTGGACGTCGGACCCTGCAAACTGTTGTCACTGTGTGCTATGCAGCTCAGGCTGGGACGAAATCATCCAAATAGCACTTGTCTGCTTCCTGGACAACTGCCATCACTCTCTGACATGGCACTCAGGCCAGTTCAGAGAGTTGAGATGAGGCCAAGCTGGACTGGTCACTTGATGATGCTCATCACCATGAAGGGGGAGGAGGAGGAAGAGAAGAAAGAAGGAGGAGGACGACGATGAGCATGTGCCATGCTACGAAGCTTCGAGGCGAGAGACTCAGCAAGAGCTGTCGCTTTCTCAGCCGAGTCCAAGGCCAGATGCCCAGGTGTTCGACCACCGTTCAGGACTTGTGGGGCTGCGAAAGCGGATCCACGTGAGGCAGGCCTGGAGCCGCCAAAGCCAGGGTTGCTTCAAGAAAGAACTTGCTCTGAGCCCGCAACACTGACGTGACCATGAAGCTGCCGAGGTTCACATGCTGCCTTCGCTTTTGTACCATGAGGATGTTGGTTTGTGCAAGAAGGGAGGTATTTCTGCTGAAACGCTACAGCAAATTTGCATCCAAGACTCGTTGCACATGCTGGGTCGAAGGAGCATACTGGCCGGCATCGGACACAGTCCAGCTGCCCTGCAATGGATATGCGGCGCTTATGATGCTTGCTACCGCTCTGCAGATGTCGCGGAATCAACGAGACTCGAGGCTCTTTCCGAAAGTACCATGTTCCTTGTCTCAAGCCAGGAAAGTCTTGTCTCTCAAACGGGAACATAGGTCCATAGGTCAACACATAATACCTTTGGAACCCAGCTAGCTCGAAAATGTGCATCTCTCCGCAGGGAGGAAGCAGACCGCAAGCGTGCTACCACACGCAATGAACGAGTCCGAGGCTCAGAGCACACTCTGCAGCTACAGTACTGAAACCTCGAGTTGAACCGAAGACATGGCTGTGGCAGGCGAAGCCGAAGCTGCAACCGGCCTTCGGCTAAAGCCTCGCAGCGAACCACAGCCAGAAATCTTCTTTCAAGCGGCATGCAGAGAGCCTCATGTCCGCATGCAGAGTCATGCACTTAGGCCCAGGCATGTGCAGCTGCACGGGTGCCGTCAGCCAGCCCTCTCACCGTCTCTGCCAAGTTCCGCACGCCTGTTTATCCGTCTGGGTGCGACGGATCTTGGCTGTAACGAGGCCAAAGCCACAGCGAGCCGCCTTCATCAAGCGCACAAACTCCACGCGGCAGTCGGTCAATCCTGAACACGCACACGCTCAAAAGCTCACAAGTAGCAGGGCTTTTGGAGCCAGGCCAGGCTGGGATATTTCCAACACCTGTCATGAACAACGGCAGTGACCGCACAAGCTTCACTGGACATGTACATTTCCGGCGGAGCCTAGTTTACGGCAGAACTCGTTGGCAAAGGCAAGGCAGTTTCTGTGGAGCCAATGATAATCCTGTCAGGTGCAGTGGCAGAAAAATGCCCGGAGACAGTTGCTGATTCCGAGCAACCTCGCCCAACCACTTCTCAATCAGGTCTCCAATCAAAAGAGACACCTGGCGGCAGTGCTGCTGCGAAGGCTCTGATCTTTCAGCCCTTTGGCGGCCTCCGATGCACTGAGTCGCGTGGTGCCCAGCGAAATAGTCTCGCGATACCTGGCGTGGTTCTCGCTTCCTCTGAAGCGGACTTCAGAAGGGCCTTCGGTTCTCGCATGTTTCCGCCGAGCCTGTGTTTGCGATTCGTCCGAGGCACCTCGCACACCACTCCGGTTCGTCGGCCTGTAACCAAAACAGCCAAGGTGAGCATGAAGTGCGCATCCCCGCGCGTCGAGGCGAGACAATTGCGAACGACGCAGGGTAAGCCGGCCTTCCAACGAGGGCAGCCGAAGATCGGCTCTCTTACAAGGAGTTCGCTTCGATTACCGGCCCCTTGCTTTACTGGTTACATGGGCTCCGTGACCAGAATGCCAGAGTGCTCTTGCACCATCCCAGCTTGAGGCTTTGAATGCCCCCGACATCCGTGTCACGAAGCTGCAGAGAGAGAGAGAGAGAGAGAGAGAGAGAGAAATAAAACTGAGGAGCCCTTCGCATCATCCCCGCACTCTCTCCACTCCGAGCCTGGAGCACCTCCGTAGCTCCACTCTCGACCGTAAACCTGTCTTCGCATCCGTTGCAGGGGCCGCGTTTTGATGGCATGCCCCTGCCCCAGGCCCACCAAGGCCCACCTCAACACCCGCATGGAGCGCACCTCCGATGGGCATCATCTCGGACCTCGCGTTTGGACACACATCTCAAAGCACTCTGCTCCTGGTCTGGGCCCCATGCGCAAAGATCTGGTTGATGCGGACGAACCTGACATTGTCACTGGCTTCGCGTTGCTAGCAGCTTCCAGGCAGCGCACAACCAACTCGAGGATGCAGCTCGACGAGCTCGTAAACGTGCACCAACACCTTGCGCCGTGCCGAGGCCAACAAATGCAGATTCTCCACATCTTGGGCTCAGTTTTCGCTTGCCGCTCCTACTGCTCTTCCGTATTCTGACGAGGCCTCTCTTCCACCAGTGTCAGCAGCCGCAGCAGCTAAAGCCTGCAACTCACCACAGCATTGGGAGATGAGGTTCACTCAAGCTGGTAGCCGCGTCACCTCCTGCAAACAATGGCTCGCTTGACGCAGGCAACTTGCATCTCTGAAGTGGTCCTGCGCAGCTGTTCCATAAACTTGAGTCTACACCATGCAAGTCCACTTTCTCCACGAAGCCACCCGACCGGGGAATGCATGCCTTCACACGGGTGGCCGTCACTTGGCACAGAGGCATCGACTGAAACCGTACATGTCAACAGCGGTGCCACCCGCGCCTGATCCGCCATGCTTCGGACACATAGGCTGTGCACTGCTACTAGTAGGGGTTCAGCTGAATTTGTTGATCAGCTCTTGCAGTCAATCACACAGACGAGACTGATGTACCATCAATTTCGTATGCATGGCTCAATCAAAGTCTGGCACTGGGAACCGACGCACTGCAAGCGGGGAAGCAAAGCTGGCGACAAAAGATGCGCAACATAATATTGCTACAGCCATTCAGAGCTTGACTTTTTCCTTGTCCGCATTAGGGTTTGCATGGGGAGGAGGTTTGGCGAAAAGCACGAAAGAAAAATGTGGATACTGCCTGCCTGCACACCATCTGTAGCTTTGTCCCAGATTTCCGGCGCATTGGCTCTACAGCAGACTTGAGTTAGCCAGCACTTCATGCGACGACGTCTAAACTCACAAAGCCTACTTGGCTTCTTTCAGCACCCAGTCGTACCCCTCCTCAAGCATGGCATGTCGGTGTAGGAGCATGTCGAGACCATCGATAACCATTTGGCAACGAGATCGTCCTCGTCAAGCTTGTCAGCGAGCTCTTTGCCTCCACTCTTGAGGATGCGCCCCTGATACATCACGTGCCTGATAGGTGAGGCAGAATGAGGATCCCAGAAGTGCCTGCTGCGTGTCTTGTTGGAGTAAGGGCGCAGCACATGGTCGGCCTCAACGTAACGGAGAAACCTCTCGAAGTGCGTCACGACCTTCGCAGTCATGGGATTAGGCACCAACCAGGTCTGCAGAAGCTGAGGGCACTGACGAGCATGGCCCTGTCAGGATCTTGCTCGCGGACACTTCGGATGGCTTCAGCCACATCCTCCGAGGCAACAAACCCTAAAAGTCCAAGCGCGGAAAACACCCGTCCTTGAGAGCATCTATGTCGAGTCCCGAATCAATCCTGTTCTCGTGGTCTGTGCCATGCAGCGAAAGATGGGACGAGACAGAACGCGACTATGCAAGCTATGTAGACAAGGAGCTCATCGAGGATGGCTAGCTTGGGCTGTAGAACAGCCATCTGCAGCATCTCGTTCCTGCAAGCTCCAATCTACTGCTCCCAGTACTGGTTAGAGCCTCAGGGCTACTGCCACTCTTACTACCAGCTTCTTGTCGGTCTGGAAGCCTGCCTCTTTCGCTCTCCTCCGCTGAAGCCTCTCAGTGGCCCAGAGCTGCAAGCAGAATCACACAGGCGGGTGCCAGCCTTCATTCACGTTTCGATTCAGGAAGTCGGGATTGATCTTCAGGTCCTCCGCCCCGGAGGTCCGGTGAGCGCCGCAAGGCTCTCTGCGAGGGTTCCCTGCCTGTAACTTCTGAGTCACAAGTCCGTAGAACTCGATGACATCCAACTCTGGCTCCTCTCTTGCCTCGGCATCCCAGAGGAGATGACATGTCTTTCTGCGGCTCTGCTGATTTCTTGCAGCGTGGGCCTACTGGGATTTCCTCTCTGCAGAATTCGTTGCAGAGACCTTCGGATCTAGCAAGTGCAATAACAGGGTTCCTGTGACATCGAAGTTGGACCCGTCCGTGTCTGGGCAAAAAAGAAGAACCCCCCCATTTTCGCAGGGAGCCAGCCCTCGCCTCCAAAGCGAACGTTTCAAACGGAGTTGCCGGCGGCTGCACATGCACAACATTGCACAGCTCTGTTTGCGCTAGGATCTACCTTGGCATGGTGCACGGACACGCTGCAAGCAGCTGGCAGCAAAGACCCGAAGCCATTTTTCCGTTCTTTGGCTGAGCTCAGATGCAGCCAGCAACGCTACTCAGAGCCATTTCTACCTCGGGTCGCTCGCTCAATCGTTGAAACCTGATATTCAGTATGCAGAAGCTCGGGTCACGGCGAGAGTTGCAACTGAGAAAGCACCACCCACAATGGCACACATAGAGGTGAACACGTAAGACCAGGGCTTCACCTGTCAAGACTCACCAGTTTGCCCGCTAGACTTGTCGGCATGCACGCAGATGCTCTCAGAAGTACGATGCCTGATTTGCTGAGCACTTTGCTTGCAAGATGTGACCAAGGTTCAACTGTGGGGAAATCCATGCCTGCTCCGTCTGCTGCATGAGGAAAGGGCTGAAGTCGTAGACCAGGAAGACCCCCGGCAAGCCGGACAGCTCCCCTTCTCGAACTTGAACGTTGCGGGCACCTGAACCGCCAAAATCGCGACCTCACCTGTGCACTTGCCCATACTTTGCCACATGCAATCAAGCTGCTGTCCGTGACGGAATACTGGTTTGTGTATGTGGTCGTGCCCCAACGGCTGATGTACACCGTTGGCACGAGCTTGACATAGTAGTGATACCTGCGGTTGGACGATCTAAGCAGGAGACCCAGACCGCTGCAAAGCTGAGAGACGGACATCCAAGAGCCAGCGCCGGCCTGAGCTCTTTTCCATTTTCTGGCATGCTCAGATTAGCAGACCTGTTGGGGGGCCGATGCTACTTGAGGGTTGGGTTGTCAGTCAGATAAGCAGCCTGAATCACGACTCGTGCAGAAGATTCTTCAGAAGAGTTGCAGCCAAGGACATTCAACGGCTGCTGCGTGACAGCACAAGTAGCTGCCAGCATTGCGGAGTACAGAAGAGCTGGCTGCAGCTGCCTAAGCCTAAGCCTAAGACTTAACCCCCCCCCCCCCCACACACACCCACATGACCCCGTCTTGCTCAGAAGAAATCCCTGGAATCGAATAAGCTGAATCTTCCACATTGCTTGTGAAGTCACGCAGGCCACAAACTTTTCCACCCGAGCACGAAGTCGCAACGGAAGATATACGACCAAAAAGCGCACGATTCAAAGCATCAGGAACGTACAGGACAGCCCGAGGCCCAAATCCGCAACAACATGCACACGGGATCATGTGCGACATTGCGAGAGGCGAGAAGGCAATGCCAATCAGCGGCCACGCAAACAAGAAAAGCCCGGCAAAACGATCCCTGCAAGTGGGTTGTCGCGCTGTTACATCTGACTTACCAGTTCCAAGTCTCCGCACAACCGACGGCTGAGCACCCGACAATTTTTCGGATGCCTTCAAGTGGAGACTGAAGTCCATAAACATATTCTCCTTAGCGTAAGCAGGAGAGATCGAGATGAAGTTCTAAAGCAAGATACCTAAATAATCAGAAGCTTTGGGTTGCAAGGGTGTCCGAATCCTGCGCAGTCACCAAAACACATCCGAGGATCCAAATGTGATTGAATGAATGTGGTGCGAGGTGTTGAAACCATCGCCTTAGACAGCATGTTGCCGGAATAGGTTCTGCTTACCGATTCACTGCAACAGGACCGCAGGCCTTGGAAGGCGCAAGACACTGTGTGCAAGACAAAACCCGGGCAGCTGCACTTTCCGCAGACGGTCTGAACCCCGCAGAAGATCGCACATCTCTGCCATGCTTGCTGCCAGATTGCCGATGTCTTCAATGTTGAATTCATGTACTAGCTTACCATCTCGCCGCACAGACTTCCCCAAGGCCACATGGATATTTCCACTGACCTGGACAAGGCATTCGTGCATCCAAACCTTTATCACGGTTGCTCGCCCGCCTTGTTCACAACAACTTTGCCTTTTATTCGGCACCCAATGGAGCTCTTGCATTGCATTGCTGTGTCCAACACGTGGAAGTATGGCAGCTCCTGCGCATCAGACAGTCAAACTGCTAGAGGACACAGTCTACACGGTGTAGAGGTTTCAGCAGCTTGTGGTCACGGACCCCTGACCACCATGAGCAAAGCAGCACGATGCACTGTGCAACCACGCAACTTGACCATGTCATGACAAAGTCTTAAACCTCCTGCCGACACCCGAACATACTGGTGGGTGTGATTGCCTTGTCGTTGTACGCATCTTTGAGTTCTTGGCAACTATTGCAGCACCTAGGCTTCACTCACCCGATACATGTTGGTAGACGAGACGATAACGCCAAAAGTACCAGACTGGAAAGCCTGATTGCTGCCTGCCTGAGGGCGACACTTGTGCTTTGCATCCTCGGCTTCTAAGCACGGCCAACAATCACCTTTGCTGGCCACTGGATCACCTGCACCGAACGTCTCGGTCGCACCACAACCCATGTCCCTTCATGGCTGGAGCGGGAAGCCCTGCTCACCTGTGGATATCTTGCCAGCAGCATCGAGGTTGTGCATGTCGAGGCCACCGTGGGCATCTACCTACACACGGAGCTACCCCCCACGCCATGCTCTAACTCAGAGGTGCGGCCTGCGTATCGCCAGCAGAATCCACCGTGTCAACGGACACCTGCCCGCGAAAGCGAACTCGAACAAAATCGCAGTTTCTCTGCGAGAAGCCATTGCGAGGCGGCGTGTGCCATGAAGCACATGTCATGCCACTATCAGAGCTCAGGGTCATGAAAGCACAGTGCCTCGGAGCATCGCAGATGCGGAAAAGTGATGTCCAAGGATATGGGGAGCTTCCTGTCGATGTTCGTGTCGACCTTTTGGGTTGCCCAGGAAGGAAGATGCTGTAGGACACAACCGCACGCTACTGTCCGGACTTGCTTGCGTATTGACTCCTGGATGCCAGCAACTCACCGATTCTTAGAATACTACTGCTGGCCTTGAAGGACATGACATACTTAGGCCTTTCTACACACGTCCTGCCGGCCTCCGCTGTCCGTCAAGATACGATTTCGGGGATGTGGGTAATGTGGGCTTCTAAGAGTTTGGATTTCGGATGGTGAGAGATTGTTTCCAGGCCATGCAGTGAAGCTTCTTGATGCTGTCAAGGTGCAGTGATGCTGTGGAGCACCTCAACACTAAAGAATTCGCAGACCTCACCTGAGTCTTTTGCAAATAGCTGGTCCTGCTGCTTGTACTGTACTGCAAGCTGCAGCCACAGCCGCGGTTCAACTTCACAACATCAAAAAGCAACTCTGGCAGAACAAATGACTGTTGCTGCCGGTGTGTATGTGTGCACATAAGCACGTACGTACGTCTACGTACGTATGTCGGCGGAGGCTCGGCCACGAGAAGCCAAGAGCCAGTGCATCCAAGATGCAGTAGACCAGCACTGCAAGTATTGCACACGTCACGAGGGTTACAGCACCGCCCAGCTGTCGCTTCTGCATGTAATCTTCATGGACCTCTCCAGGCAAGCTGATGCGGTCAACAAGGCAAACCAACTGCTCAAACCACCGCACCTTGTTGTACACATCGAACTTTCTCAGAGTCTCGAGCGCGCCCGAATTTGAGAGGCCCTCATCTGCTTCAGATCCAGGAACCTGCAGACATGCTGAGAGTGACCTGGAATCGGTCACAAGCTTTGCATCAAGCCTTTCGTCGTCGTATGCCGGAAGACATCCGCACGGCCGCAAAAATGCTGACTATGAGTGCATTACTTGTTTGCAAGTGGGCTGTTCTTGCTGTTTCTTGCAGATCCGTGGGACTGCAAGGAAGGCAGTATAGTATGTGCTCCAATATCGACATGGGGCTCATGGTCTTTCTTGATGCATCCCAGTCATCCCGTTTCAGCCTGGTTTTTCCATTGCAAGCAACAAGTGGCTACAAGCTTCGAGAGCTCCAGGGACGCAAAGAGAGCGAAGCGCGTCTGAATGCGTCTCCCTTATAAGACCTGAGGCCGCTGCACGCCTCTGTGCATTGTATGCTGCTCTGAGGAAGTCCAAATTGCTGACCTCTCGGAGACAGAGAAGAGAGGTGAACAGAGGCATGGGGGGGGAGGGGGCGAGGTGTCGACAGCTGGATGTCTTGATGCTTGCGTAGACTAAGAACTCAGAGCAAGTCTGAGGACCTTTCCCCTCCAACGGCTGGAGGTGACTGGAAAGCGAGGAATAGCCCTTCCAGCGCTCGTTCCTCGAGGGCTCGCAGCATGTCATGCGCCTCACAAAGTCTCTCTATACTCTGGCACTGAGCAGCTGTGGAACCCGCATGAGGTTCCATCTCCAGCAGGTCGGTCTCGCCTAACTTGGCACTGCCCTTGGTGACCTGCCGAAGCCCAGCTGCACATGATTTCGACACTTCGCGGACATGTTGGCCCGCCTCATAAGCCGAGTCCCCTATGAGAACTTTTGCCAGCGTGCTCTTTCCAGAGCCTGAACTGCAGATCTGCACTGTCGAGAGGTACTAGTTCAGATGCAGTGTTGAACAGCCGTAGAGTTGACACTGAGGACAAAACCGTTCGGTCCCATGACAGCATGGACCTGCTGCAAATGGGCAGCTCCAGTCTTCACGGTAGTATGAGCACATGGCCTCGCCCGCCCTTATCGTAAGGTTGAGCCCTTTCAGGATCTGCTTCTCGTCCTCGTCTGTGCCTTGCAAGATGCGAGCTGCAAAGAGCAACGCCCAACACCCTTCCTCCTCTCAGTTCGCAGCTTTTGGCTTCGACTTCCTTGACCTCTAGCACGACCTGGCATTCACGGCTTCACGGCAAGCATGAGCAGGTGTGACTCGACGAAGCAGATCTCATTCGTCTCGGGCGCGAGCAGGCGAGTCTCCAGCCCTGCGAGTCTGCCGCAGCTGTCTGCTCTGCAGCCTTCGTCTGGTCGGCCTCTCCACTTTGCAAGACCACGGAGACTTAGCTGTTATCTCCCCATGCAACCTCAAGCAACTGCTGCCATTCTTGGAAATGCCTGGAGGCTGCCAGGCCGACGATGGCAGTGGAGGCCAAACAGCCTGGCACAAGTTGAACAGGCAAGATGCCGACATATCCAAATGGCGTTGCATGTTTCCCCTTATTGATGCTTTCATACATCGCAGCCAAGATGCGTCTGATTAGATACGGGTGGGACTCGATCACCAGGCTGTACTTTGCTGAAGCCTGTTGAACCCGCGTGGATCGTAGTGTAGTATATGCTGCGGTGATCGTGGCCGTTCCCCAACAGCCAGCTTCGGTTGTGTGTTTCCGTGATTTCAGTGCACATTACTTTCTGTGTCCGGGTGTTGGTGTCTTCTCCCGATGATTCGGTTATGCAGTGTCGCTGTTTCTCGATGTCGCGCGAGTACCACAAGTCTGGTCCTGTGGCTGCCTGGGTGCTTGTTCGTTTCGGTGTTCAGGTGTGCTTGTGCCGTGCTTCCGGTGTCCAGGCGTTCCGTCATGTTGCTCGGGTGTCGCGAAATTGTCTCTTTGCTTCGTTGTGTCTGGGTCTTGATGGTCCTCGTTCCTCGATGTCTCGGCGTTCCGCTGTCCCAGTGCCAGCGTGTCCAAGTGTTTCGGCGATCCGGTGCCTGGTGTCGCGCTGCTTTGTCACAGTGAGCCGGTAGGGTGCCGGAAAGCATATCGAACTGCACGCACACATTTCAAAACTGTCGGGCATACACGTACCACTGCCAGTGCCAGTTTACGAAAGTAGCTTTTAAACCTCCCTTGTCGCTTCAGGTTACTTTGAACTGTTCCTCCTAATGCAGACTGGGGCTGGGTGCCTGTGTGCCAAGTTGAAGAGGCTGAATCTGCGGACCTCTGCCCAAAGGACGTGGCCTCAGGAACTGGGAGGGTGCCCCAACATCTTCTGTAAGCAATGCTTCATGGGACGGGAGATGAACTGAGCATGGAAGGTTACCCTAAAGTAAAGGATGATGCTGAAAAGCTATGGCTATGCAAGAACTCTCATGAACGGATCTGAGAGTCAAGCCGGGCTGCTTCTACTTAAGGTGGTTCCTGCGCTTGACACGGCGAACGCAGAGCAGCGGCATGGCCATGTGAAAAAGATTCAGATCCTCTGCGCCAGCGACCAGGGTGGACAGAGGATGTCGAGGACACCTGTCATCGGCTGAGTTTCAGGTTAGGGATGTCAAATGTCAAGCACACTTGCCGGTTCAGCGGAGCTCAAACGCAACCAAAGCTCCAAAGGTGCTGCCATGGTGGCAACTTCCATGGCATCCATGGCTCCGCCTTGTTTGCGGATCCACTCTACTCTGCACGACTTGCAGAACAAAACCTGCCGAGTCGTATAGATTCAAGAACTGGCTCAAGACAGCATAAGAATCCGCAGTCAGTGTGCATTATGCTGACAATGCTGATATTTTCCGCTTTGGGAGAGCAGCGCTGCTCTCAGTTGGCGCAGCCGGAAGCCACATCAGCCACATCACACGGCCAAGGTAAACGGGCCACCGTCAGAGTGCAGGTGAGTAAGATTTCTCCATAGCCGCGGTAGAACCTCCAGGACGGTTGCAAAGCTTTTGCCGCGCAGTTGCTCAGGGTGGCCTGGTCCACTTCTTCACGGAGCCACTCGCGAACGAACGAAAGAGGAATATCCTGCAGCAGGTACAAAGGTTGACTGACAAGCTCTGTGCCCCATCCGTCTCCAAGCAGTCGTGACAGACTGACACCTTGCCTTCAAGCCCCAAACAGACGCCCGGCGATAGCAGTCGAACTCGTTGATGGGCAGCGCCTCCGGCGGCATGCAGCAACGAAGCAAAGACACCGGATAGACACAGGCGACTGTTTATATGCACCTCGGGCCACTCGCTTTGCCGTACGAAAAGGGCATATGGCCCGGTGAGTCGAATAAGAAAGAGGTCATGCTTGGCCAGAACCTCAAACTCTGCTACATCTTCCAGCAACATGCTACTTGATGCCAGCAGCACTACAGTACGTGTCACGCCTCTATCGCTCCAGACAGAGAGCATGACATCAGAGCCGGAGGGGAGTTGTACCCCGGAACGCCTCGAAACATGGCTAAAACTGCCTCGCGAGCTCCCCATGCTTGCGCATGGGAAGCGCGACAGGCGCAGGCACTATTGCAGCCAGCCGGCCGAGCGGAAAGTACTGGAAAGGTGGCGGCACCTGGAAGGCCAAACTGCAGTAAGCTGCACAAAAGCAACAGAGAGGCCATGGAAGCCGGCTGCGAGTCACCTGACTGAGCACCAAGAGGGCCACCAGCCGGGGGCGCACCTCTTAGTGCCAGATCCACATTCCAAACCGGACCCGCTTCTTTGTCGTCGCTTTTTGATGCTACACAGCGCAGTGACGCAGCGGCCCTCTCGGCTTAGGGAGCGACTCCGGCGCGCAAGACCTGGCGCAAGACCTCACAGGAGACTCCATGCCTTAGGCCATCCAAGCGAAGCAGGTCCAGCTCACCTCTGGCAGCTTTTTGAACGCATCTTCCGGCAAAAGAAACCGCCCAACGTCTCTGCAGCAGCTCTATGGCCTGCAAACTCTGCTGGAAGCTGAAGATCTGCCCAACGAAGCGGGTCAGGTATGTTCAGAGTGCGCAGTGCCTCGAAGGCCGAGCAGGTTCTGTCCATCTCATTAAAGAACCGCAAATGATTGAGAGAGCTGAGCTGCGCTCTGCAACCCCTGCGCGCGAGTCAGTGATCTTACCTTCAACAGCACGGGATCTAAGGTTCTATATGCACCCGAAGAAACGTAAATTCACGGCTGCGCACCTGCTCCTCGTCGCAGAACATGCAGAGCCCCTTCAACCGCACGTTTCCTCTCTGCCTCAGATGCAAAGGGGAACGGTGCATGCTGCAGATCTACCGCTTGGGGCGTTGGGTGGACACTGTATCGGTCCCACTGCAGCCAGAGGGGCTGCAGCTCCAACATGAGCTCCACGGCAGGATCGTCGGGCACATCGACTCCTGCCAACCGCGGTTCACAATCCTAGTAAGTACACCTGGGGCAAGATGATTCCTTCACCGTGCACACCACCGTAGAGGCCCCCGAAGGTCAGCACAGAACCGATGGGAGGATCTGAGTGGACTGGCTGAAGTTTTAAGGTTTAAAGCTCGTTGCTCAGAGAGGGCTCAAGCAAAGCATTGAGACGAGTGACTGCGCAGCCTGCGGAAGACCGCCTCAGAGCAGACAAGCCAAAGTCTCAAAATCCAGTCTCCGCATTTCTGACAGCTTCGCAGCAATATCTGCGCTTTGTTAAGGCGAGTGTCCAGAATTTCCTTCTCTAAGTGATTCTCTGTGTTCACAGCGCAGTCTGGATCCACTCGCGCTCCCACCGCACACCTCGATTGGCAGGTCTTCTGCAATATGCAATATATACAACATATCAAATGCTTCAGCCAACTTTTATTTGGAGAACAAGGCCACAAGGCTACCAAAAGTCGAAGTACCGAAGGATCTTCGCTGCCCAGCGCTGGCTTTGTATTTGAGGCGCACGGGCTTCCACCGTCAGCGCTTCTGCGGGAAACGCACTCAGCAACTGCTCCTCCTGCTCTTGAGGCCTGTTTCCCAGCTGTATGTCGGACCGGCCGGACAACTGAATGCCGATCTCAGCTTGATGACGACCGAGGCTGTGGCAAGTCCACCTCTGCTTCCCCGTTCAGGAGGGCTTTGAGATTCCCCTGATGCATCTCCAGGAGGAGGAACCTCCAGGCCATGGCCAACTTAAATACCAGTGAACACATCGGCAAAGCAACACTGGCACCAGCCAACCACACAGAGCACGTCCAATGCTTGGTTTTGGATTGAATTGCCGAGAAGTGGCGCGTCTTCAGCCACTCGGACGGTTCTCGTCCATGTGTGCAGCGATGGATCAACTCTGGCCATGTAGTCCTCCCCGCCCGGAAAACACGCTTCTCCCGAAGACCACATGGTCCGCCGACCTCTGAAGCCAAAGCGACTGCAGCCAGGGCCAGTCGACCTCAGACGACTGGCCCGCGAGCCCTACAACAGCAAGGCTCATCGACAACACAAGCAGTCACCTGCGAGCTGCCTCATGGCTCGAGCGAGCTTTCCTACAAAGCAAACCTATCACGTTCGGACACGTGTTGGCTTGGGACAGGTCTGTGCAGATTTATCGAAAGTTGACCACGCTGAATCTATGACTATCTCTCTTCTCCTGGATCCAGACAATCGGTTGAAGTGCATTAGTTGTGACTCCAGGACTCTGATAACAATCTACAATGAATCTACAAATTAGAAGCTCAAGCAAGCAGGCTCACGCTTTGGAGCCAACATAACTAGCGAATGACGGTGCGAATGCTGTATTCTGTTAACTGAGATATACTGAGATGAATAGCCGTATCTCCAGATACAGCTTGCATGGTGGTGTCTCCGGTCCAATTTCCGCAACCAGCGGCTTCATGGTCGTTTGTGGAAGAACGTCCTTCCGGCTTGTGCTTCAAAAAGATATCGCAAACGACACTACAGCCTGCGGTTTGGACAACGGCGAGTCCCGTCCTGAAGCCCCCCGCGCGCATGACCGTGCCACGGAACGGCCTCTGACGTGCATGACGCGCGATCCGCGGCCTTCTTGACATGCTGGGTAAAACATTTAGCAGCCTACCTTAAAGCCGCTAGCTACGTGCAGCACGCCGGAAGGCCTGAATGCCAGCCGCATTGTAGTGCCGCCTGCTGCATGCGCGCGCGGCGGAATGAAGCCACTGGATTCGGCCGATTGCAAATCATTCACTTGCTACATGTGAGAACAGGTTGATTAATCAGAACGAAGCCAGAGCCTCACGTGTCTGGAGTAGGCGACGCGGTCCGCTTCAAACCTCACCGTAACTCAAGCTTGTACCCTCCCTTCAAGCCCAAGTACTGGGCTGATCATTTCCTGTTCCGTGCAAGCGGTCGAACCTGTGTCAAGCACCACTTGTTAGATCGTGCTGCCCTGTCCACAGTCCGCGTCCTTTCCTGCGCTCAGCTCTCTTCAGGTTAGCGCCCCGACAGAAAGCTTGTTCTTCCTCTTCTCAGAGGTCATCATGAATCAAGGTTTGATGCAGATGCCCTAATTCGGTCAAGCCGTTCAACCAATCGCAACGATCAAGTCTCTTACCTCTCTCCGCCGCTAAAGCGCAGCGCCGCACCAAGAGGGAAACGTGGGCAGCCAGTTCAACAACTGTTCACGAGTCAATCAACACTAGAGAGCACATGCGGGAGGTTGTCAGCGAGGTACAGATAGAGACTCGGGTCCAGGCATGTCTCCTTCTGTAGGTCGGAGACCGCAGGCTCTGCGGCGCATGTGATCCTTAGCCCGCCAGGTTGAAGACTGACTGGTCTGGGGAAGTCCGATTTCCATGCTGGTCTACCTATACTTGCGTCCTTGCAGGAACTTTTCTGCAGCTCTCTGTCTCATCCGTCTGGGTGACTAGAAAAGTATTTGCAAGTTTACTTCTACACTTTTGGCGCCAAACATGCACCGGTCCTCCCACAGGATGACATGTCGATTACGTTGTACTGGCATCTTGATGCGACGCGTCACGACTAAGAGCAGTGATGCACTCTGATGTGTGAGTTCAAGCTGCGATTCTGCGAGCCTGCTGCACATGTTCCTGGATGTCTACACTCACTGAATTTTGCAGCTTGCACTGTATCGTTTTTGTCTCTTTGTGTGCGTCCGATGCTTCACATCCTTCAATACGAGTAGCTGAGTGCAAACACTCCATGCTTGTTGGGGTTCAAAATGCTCGGCAAAGGTAGTGTCAGAGTCTCTCGACGGCGAACTAGGCCCTCTGAAAAGCAAGCTTCAGCTGTCAGGTAGGAATCGGCGAACGACCTACACCTCTGCATACTGTGCCCGGGTAGATGCTCCGAAAGCTGAGACGAGAAGCCGTGTGCCAAGAGAGGTGCTGCCAACTCGCTGGTGCAGCAGGTGCCGGCCCTGCTGGGCCACGGTACCTCTCAACGGTCGGTTCTTTCTTGCATCTTGGACGAGCAGATGCGTCTTGAGCCGGCCGGCCCTTTAACTCATAATAGGCTGCCTGGCAAAACAAATGTCTCCCTCTCTTATCCTGTTGTTGCGTCCCTGTTCAGGTAATCTAGACACCGGATCACTGGCCATGTCATCGAGGCGCTTTCTTACATTGTGCGGCCTTGCCTGCCCAGGGCCATCCAGTCCTCTGTGTTGGGTTCGTGGAACTCCGTCATGGCAAATGCAGTCAACTCCCAGGACCTGACTCACAACGGAAGGATACCCACAAAACACCTGCACCCTCAGCATCCCGGCGGACTGAAGGCCAGGTTCCAGAGCAAGAGAGGTGCGCCTCGCACAAGCGTCAAAACCATCGGTGTCTTCCTGGAACGGAACATGTCGTCTCATGAGAGTCGACCTGGCAGCGCAACATTGTCCGCAAGAAGACGGCTATCCATGCCTGCAGGCAAGGCAACCCCCCCTCCCCCAGAACTCCACAGACGGAAACCGCGGACCCAGGCCTATCGCTCCCGTGTCTTCCTGAGCATCTCGGAATCTGGCAATCATCGCGGCAGAAAGCTGAGACAAACACCAGTATGTCGAGGTCGGAATGGAAGGCTGTGCCCTGGCTTTGTGCTCACTTACAAGCAGCGGGGTGCAGTGGAAGCATCTGCGACCTTGTAGTCCATGAAGACCATGCCTACCGATGTGGCACCAAAGAGTTCGACGATCTTGGGTACAATATCGCGCACCTGCTTTCAGAGAGGCATAGCACTGTGGCACAAGTGTGAGCTCGGGCATCCTCGCCTGTCCAATGGCAACCTCCACTGAGCACGAAGCCTGAGCTCCGCACAAGGTAGCATTCGAGGCATCACACCCCAACGAAAATGCTTAGGCGCTGGCACCGGCTAGGTCCACGAGGTGCCTGGCTATGCAAGCCTGCACCGGGTCCACCTCTGAGCAGAATGCACGACTAGACCAACAGCGAAAATCCAAAGGAAAGACTGCTGGCTACTGCCAGCTACCAGCTGAAAGCAAGGCAATCGGGCTGGCCACGGCCTCGATTGTGAAGACATGGGGACCGGCTCTGTCGGGAGAGTCTCGGCCAGCGAGCATCCTCAGGCAATCGGATCTGCAACGGTGGCATCTTATGGAGTGTCAAGCATGTCGGTGGCTCTGCAACGCCAGACGCATGGCGGAGTAGCCTTGCGTCGGTAGGTGGTTGAATTGACCGTGTGCTTAGCATCACCCTTTGCATAAGTTCTGCTGCCTATGAAGGTGCCACACTCCAGCGCAACCTGGCATCCCATGTGCAGGGCTGCCGGCTTCTCCCAGAGCCACTGAGGGCGTTGTGCCTCGTGCCACTGCCAAGTCCTCAAACCATGGGTGTGCAACAGCACCTCAGCTTTTGCTCCACCAGCAACCTCAGTGCCGCCATGCCGGTCCGAGTCATCCGATGGCTTCCGGTCGCTGCCCTTGCAAGTCCTGGGCTCCCACCTTGAGCCAGTGCTCTCGGCGCTGCGCAAAGGTGTCTAGCAAGCGAAGCATCTCGTTGACAGTGCCGGGCACCTCCCAGGTCGAAGACGGAGGACGCAGAGGCATACGCAAAGGCACACTCTATCATACAAGGCAGTATCTCAGAGGCCCTTTGCCTGGGGAGCAGCAGCAGAGAGGCGGTGCTCCACGAAGTCGATGACGGCACCGAGCTTCTCCCAGTGGTTGCCTGATCGTTCAGCTACGATCTGTCCACTGTCAATCTGTGCAGAGACCCCACACGCTCCTGAGGCCGGTTGCGCGAACTTCTCGAGGTTCGAGAATCTCTGCATGTACTTGGCCTTACAGCAAAACCACCGAGGTTGTGCCATTCCTGTGGTATCTTCTCTGAGACTGTGACAAGTTCAGGCTTGTTCTTGCTCACCTTCACGAAACCGACCAAGCCAGATCCGTTCATACTAAAACATATCCTCTGTGATGCAGCGCGTCGGCCAGCTAGCATTCGCATGCACTCGCAATGCTTCGAACCGCGCCTTCGACTTACTCCAGGGGCCATCCTGTGCGCGAAACCAGGCTGGGAGCTCACGACCACAGGAGTACTTGCGAATCACCTCCGAGCACGAGGAGAGGCAAGCAGTTGACTGTGTTAAGCTTTGGTATGCGCTGGACCTCCTGGCAGGGTCCGGGCCGGCTCGTGTGCTGAAGCAAGCAGATCCATGTGAGGTCCTCGAAAAGCTCCAAACTCTTCGGGGAACTTCACGAAACCGAATCGCCGGCGCTCCTCATCCTGGTCTCGCCTCCATTCGGAATCAGCGAGTAGAACCTGATTCTCTCAACACCCCGCTGAGATCCGCTGAGCAGCAGTTCCGGCATGCGGTTGCCTCGACCGCGGTCGACATGTCGCCCAAATCAATTCCTCGCTGCAGCCACCTCAAAGTGCTCAATTTGCTTCATTCTGCTTTTGCAGATTTCACGTCCTCATTTCAGACTGACCCCGGACGAGAAGTGTGTGCCAGAAGGTAAAATCTGACTGCCATGATCATGTCTTTCCCAGTGGCCAAACTGGAAGCCGCGGCCAGACCGGTGTTACAACATGCAACTCTAGGACTCTAGGCAAGGTTTCGAATTCCACTCATGTCCTCGACCCGGCGGGATGGCAGAGGAACAAACTCAGGAAACTGGGCTTGAGGCTCCTTGAAGAGTCTGCCTGGGTGTTGAGGGAAGGCCGTGGTCCACAAGCACCATAGCAAAGCATGAGCCTCGGCATGCAGCAAGCCGCAACAACAACACCCGTTGATGACGCGACTACGGCATGCGGCAGATGGATAAGCCTCACGACTCAGCCCAATGCACTCGGAGAGCTCATGTCGGCAGGGTGTCGCTTCACCTCGGAGTGAGGTTCTTGACGAAATGAGCCAACATCTCCTTATCCGTGCTGCGCTAGACATTGCCAACACGGCTGAGATGCCTGACCACAGACAGAGTTGTTTCCAGCATGGGATACAGCTGCCGGGGCTCAACCAACAGGACCTCATCAATGCAGGCATCGAAACTGCCTTGCCGCTCAGGCACCCAGAGTTCCACAGGAGGAATGGCCCTGACGACGCTGCACCATGCGATCTTCGTCGAACTCTGCCTGCGCCAAATGCCGTGGCCACGAAAGCGACTCAAGCTGGCACAGCGATCGCATGATGCTGGATGCAGCTGGGCTCAGGGCAGCTGGGATTCGCTCAAACGCTGTTGCACTGCTGTCGCGACAGCATACAGGAGCGGCTGCCTGTCAAGAGGCGTGAAATGACAAGTGAAGCGAACATGACCACTCCCGCAAAGGCCTCCTCACACGGAGATTGGCGAGACCCCAGGACAGTTTCGCAGGACCTAGTCAGGGACACGTTCCCACTTCGCTTCCGAACTGTTTCGCAAATAGTAGCACATGTGTGGACATGTCGACATTGGCAAATCTTCGACAGACAAATTTCGAGGCCAGCCAAGCACTCACATGCAATGTAGCAATCGATGTCAATTTCAAGGGAGAGCAGCCGATATGTCAGCGCTACATCCCAGACATAAAGACTTTGAGAGCCGCAGGCTGGCCTTGTGAGCTGAGTCGGCCGATGGCACTTCTCGCCTTTGACCGCAAAGAGGGTGTTGTCACCCTCATGGTGCGCACATGGCATGAATCCTACATAAGCACAAATGTCGCACTGAAGGAGGCAGTCCGTAGAAGTTGTGCATACTTTGAAGCTGCCGGGCGACGCTAGTTGACATCGACGCCATCAGCAGAATACCACAGATCTGGGGCACGCCAGGCGACCAAACTGCCTCAATGCGGAAGGTGAGGGACGGGAGAGAGAGGGAGCGCGAGCGAGAGAGCATGTGCAGGCGTGTATGCATGTAACATAATATGGTAGGCCCCCCCAAACAAGAACCAACCTCAAGGAATTCAGGGTTGGGAATGCAGGCTTGAAGGGTTCAATGCTTTGGGATGTCGGGCTCGGAGACTTCAGGTCGAATCTGCAGTCGGCTTCGGATTTTTGTCTGACCGTGTTAAGGCTTCCGGCATATCTTGCTGGCGCAATGAGAGAGCCTTGCTCACTCCTAGATCTTCCTCAACGTTCACATTGACATGTAAAGCAGTCCAAGCAAACGTGGCTTAGTCAAGATGTTCGGGCACGTTCCGATTCCAAAACCCACCACAATTTACACAGGCTTTCGGCACTTTCCCATTCCAAAACCAACCATTGGCTTCGCCAAGGTGGCATCTTCCCGCCTGTGCACACCGCCAAAGAAAACCTTGAGAAACCAACGAAACCAACAGAATTCAGAATGTCCAGGGTGCCCCCTGGCTTGAAAATTCGTAGGTTTCCTCGGGTTACCAAGGTTGTCGCTGGCGGTGTGCAGAAAGGCTTGGCTTACCAACGTTACTTTCCCATGCCAAAACAAACCAAACAGCTTGGTGTTATCAAGGTTCTCGGTACTCTCCTTTTCCCAAACCCGCCCAAAACCTTGCTAAAATCAAGGTTGGTGCACACGGCCGAAAAAGCCTTGCAAGACCTGCGAACTGCAGATGTTTGTCGGCAGTAGTTGACCTTTGCTTCGAGGCGGCGGCTGCTTTTGGAAAGACCTGTGAACTGCAAGTGCTGTCCAAGTCAACTTCGAAAAGGCATGCGTGCGCGTGCGCGTGCGCGGGGCTACAGAGCACCTTCTACGTAAGCTTCAGTGTTGTGTGACGAGTTGCGTGTGCATACAACCCCTTACCAAGGGATATCGGCTCTTCTGCCTGCATGTTTCGCAGCCTGCTTCGTGGTGCAGAGGGCAGCGAGAGAGTGTGTGGGATCACTGCACACGAAGACTCCCAACTTCCCTGGTGGTACATCAGGAGCCGTCCTGTTGTGGGAAACACTTGTGGCATAGTCACACATGGTGCACTGTCATCGCCATGCATAGTTACTATACTCTAAAACCATTTGTCTAAAATCGAATGCACTAAAGTGCCTGCTGCTTCGTCGAGTGTGAGGTCTAACACAGCAAAGTGAATACCAAGAGTGATGCCGTTTAGACGCCTGCGTGGCTAAGTTATCTCAGCCTGTGAAGATTAGGATTGCGATTTGCGAATGTGCGTGTGTGTGTGTGTGTGTCCTTGCACCTGGTAGTTTGCAAGAGACCCGCATGTAGCAGCAGTGTTCGGCTCGCACGGATTATGCATTCTATCCTGCAGGTCGTTTGTTCTCTGAAATTGTCTGCCTGGGTTGACTTTTGCTGGGGCGAGGCGAGCATACATCTACATGTGCAGTATACGTATCTGTATGTGCATCTACATATATATATATATTGC